AAGAAGTGTGTACTTACTTTTGGAACACCCTGTATATGAAAAGCCAGATTGCCCAAGGGTATTAAAAGCGCCGAATCCTTTATCGAGTTCGCTATGAGTTTATCCCGACGGGGAGAGGTTAATGGAACATACCGCGATTTTTGCCGACATTTTCGTCTGCAAAACGGATGTCGCTTTCACTGGCTTTTCGCAGTTTACTGTAACTCAAGATACCATCATCGCATGCTGTAGGCGGTTCAGGTTTCTGAAATGTTATGAAGAGTTGTGCAGGCAATATGGGCACTAAACTTTCAAAATATTGAAAAATTAAAATTTCTCCAAACGGGGAAATTTCACGTTGCTTTCAAAATTTACGGTGGTGCGAAAGCACGTTGTCTTTATTTATCTTCGCCAATCTCGCTGTAGCTCTGAAGTACCTACCCTGAGAGTTTTGATCTCCCCTGCTTCCACTTTCATAGCGGCTTCAACAAATTGTTCGAGGTTAAAGTTGGCCATCTCGCCCTCAGGAATGTTGAACTGGTCTCCCAAATTTTTTACTAGACTTTTCATTGTCATTCTGCAAAACAAATATGGCCAAACTACCAAAATGTCATAGTGTTTACGAACTTTTTGCCTCCAAACCATACAACAACATTGGACATATCATCCATCTTTCGACCAACATAGTGAAGTTTACGCAACAAATCAGCAGCAAGGTCGATTGCCATAGTAGTTAGAGCCAGGCCAATCCCGATGTAACCAAGGGTGGCGTAGAGGTAGTCAAAACTGCAATGACAGATGGAAATGTGGTTAGAAGACTTGTTGAAAAGCCTAATTTTTTACGTGACACACCTTTTGGGAACAAAGTCACCCAGTCCAATTGTGGTCAATGTTACAAAATTGAAGTAGAAGGCTTTATAGAAGTCCATTTCCGGCTCATAAGCTGCCAGTATCATCGCACCCAGTATTAGGTAAAGACTGAACGTCACGCCCAATGCAATTGCTTCACCAGTCTTTCTGTAATTTGGTCATAGTTTCGCCTTATCTTCACATTCGCTCAACTTGAGCTCTATTCCGAGAAAAAATATGTTCAAGTATCTTATTTGAACGTTCTCATTCAAAATCTTCTAGATTAATCTAATTTTCTCAGAAACACCCAGTCTTGTTACAGTTCTTCAAAACTTTTGACTGCACGGAATCGGCCGGGCTGAACGCAAAGCGCGTGTCTCTTGCGGGCTAATATTGTCATTTACGCGCATGAGTCATCATAGCGCCCGCTCGGCAGCCGCGTCACAGGTACGCTCGCGTGCATTCAGCCTACAGGGACCCGGGCGATTTCGTGCATTCGACTTTATTATTGAAAGCAGAGTCTCGCAAACTGAACATTCGCTAGATTGTTATGGTAGACTGCTTACACCCCGAATACGAGATCGTAGCAAGTTCGAGCGGGCAGCATGCTGCCCAGCCAAGAAAATCGCCCTCAACCCGTGCGCACAAGCCATTCTCAACGCTCGGACGAGCTAGCGGCTTCCATTCCACATTTGGAGGCGGCATGCTGCAATGTTAAATCATAACGGTCAACAACTCGGCGTCTTCAACCATAAAGGGGGTTTTCCACTCGATATTCAAATGAAGGCCTTTGAAAAGGAGAAATGTTCCAGTTTCAATCAGGCAAATTGGCATGGCGGGATTCAGCGATGCGCGGGTTTCGCGCCCATTTACCGCTAGCTTGTCTGCACTATCTCCAATCTCTTCGCTCTCTTCGACAGCACGCACATGCAGCGCAAACTCCTAGAGCTGCGAGCGCAGAAATTCAAGCCAACGCTTTGGCCTGATCCCAATTAAAGCATATACTTTCATTTTCGCGCTATCTAAGGCGAATTCTCAGGGCCAGCGCATCGTATTACTCCAAGTAAGCACAGAATTTTTAAGTTGAGGATTTGTCAAGCCACTGCCTTAAAGCGTACTGCAGGGCAAGGATGCAGGACCCAAAATGCGGTTGTGTCATTCGCAAGGAGCATAGACATTTTACAAGGATGTAGTTGGCAGTGTCCTTCTCAAACAGAGTTGCTCGTGCGCATTCGCTTGGTCGTGTATTTCATCTTTGTTTACGACGATGGATTGGGACTGTTGTCGTCAAAATGATATGAGCCACAATTCATCGGTTCATCGAAATTCCCAAGCGAAATCATATGCTTATGTCTTTTGTGGAATGTCTGAACCTTCTCCAAGATTGATATAATGATTATTCTTCTATCTTTGCACCACTCGTACAATAGCTCATGTCACTTACCTGGGTTCAATGGCATCTTCTGATTCTCCATCGGTTTCTTCATCAACAACTTTCAAATCCCTAGCAGTGCTCAATACGCTCACTCTTCCTCCAGAACGGGAAGGCCTTATCTGAAGCACACGTTTTCAAGGTAAACCACTAGATAGCCAAAGGTAATCCTACCCTTCGCAAGCACTTGATTAAATAATGCACGCAAAAGTAAACCGAAGCAGTGACTTTCTTCAAAACCATGGTAAGGAACATTCCCAGGTCGGCGATGGTGAGAAGTGCCAGCGGTACCCCCGCCAAACCATAAACAATGCAAAACAGACGTCCATAAAATGTAACTGGAGCTACATGACCATAACCTGAAATAGAAGTCCACTTTTTCAAACATGAGTTTTCTCAAATTTTTGCCAAATAGGCTTTCTGAGTGTTATTTATTTCCAGTCACCGTCTAGAGTTTCGACGCCTTTTCTCTTCTGCACTGCAAACATCAGTTTCTAATCGGAAGTGATTGATTGACATGGAATTTTCATACGCTATGACCAATTTCGGGAGAGGGGAGGAGAGGGGAATTTTGTACAGAAGTGACGACAAGGCTTTTGAGGAAGACAGAAGGCTTCGAAACAGATCGTATTCAGAAATGAAGAAGTAAACTAGGAGCAATTTTGTACAGAAGTACTTCAACAGAACATAAACTATCTAGTTCATACTAAAGCGTTGGAAGCCGCTGCGGAA